AATCACTATGACATTATTCATTGTTTAGGCTTATTAGATAATATATTCACATCCACACCCACACCCACACCACACCCACACCCACACCCACACCCACCCACACCCATTCGACTTGGAATTCTCAGAAATTATATGAAGATTGATTTAATACCGTCGTGTTGAAATTTCTTTTGTTTGAATTATCAAAATTTTAGATTGGATTTGGCTTCGATCACGTAAGCACTAATACAGATATTTAGACAGATATATTAAAAACTAGTACTCTTGTGAGATGTCAGAATAAGTACAAAGAAATAATTACAGGAGTTTTATTTAGAGCTTTAGATACACTGTTCAATTCAAAACAGAATTTTGTGTACAGTTTTAAGTTAGAGGTAAGAATCGGTTTGAAACACATAAGAATACTATCAGCATGAGCGTCCATTTTGGTGAACTTCACTATGCCAAATATATCGATAATAAAATGATATTCCATACGAGATGAGTCTTTGAATATGTTGTAAAGGACAGCGAAACCAGTGTTTTCTAGAAATTTTTAGCATAATTTGATGACTTTCTCAAGCTCCTACTATTAGAAACACTGACGAAATTTTTCAACAGTAACATTTAATGGTTTACACAGTCTTTTTGTATAGAAGTAACTTTTATCATGACTTCTAGCTTTTTCAGACAAAATTATTAGTGGAAAATATTATTTACTAGAAAATGTTCAAAAATCCCACATTATAGCGTGTAATACTAGTTTGTATTGTAGTAATATCAAGCTATAGCGGAGCGCAAGAGCCATAATGTGATGGCAGTAATAGCGATATTACGGTACTATTTAACTTCTATTGATAACATCAGTTGTCTTTAGAAATCATTGCATGGCTCTTTCTTTTGTTTTTTTTTTTAAGAAAAAATCACAATTCATTGTTTATTTATGCTATTAGTTAGAAACTAAAAGGAAATGAAACTATACGTGTCGTTTTTGCCCAGATCGAACAAACAATTTGTCAGGTGTTATTTTTTTGACAGCATGGTTCATATCAGAATCCCAAGCCCTTGCATTAAATCTTTGCACATTATTAGCAGTGGCAATATTCGAACTGGTCAGCTGTTAACTATCAGTAGTAGCTATAGAATCATTTATGATTATTATTGCTTACTATTTTTCTATATGATAAAGAATACAATATGTTTGCTTAAGGAAAGTGTCGTCATCGAGTTCAAATGTTTTTTGTAATCTTTCATTCGAAAATGCCATAAGACCAGGCGTAGTTCTGTTTTGACATGTTGACGTCGTACAATCTCAAATGCTATTTCTTTCATCAGCTCATATAGGACTATTATGTGAATGAATGAAACCGTTGAAAATGTTAGCCATCGGAAAATATTCTCATCAGCACATACACTAATATCTATGTGCTGATATCCGATAAATCATCGTCAATATTGTATAGATATGTGAATATATTATCTAATAAGCCTAAACAATGAATAATGTCATAGTGATTCATTCAAACAAGTAAACTTTTGAATTTCGCTCGATCATCCGAGAGATAAATATGTTTGATTAATTCGTCATCAAATATTCGTAATAAGAGGACTATTCTCCTGTGTACAATTCTAATTGATAGTTGAGCACATAGGTATATTGTCTGCATTAAATAAATAAATACTACTGATTAGATTGTACATTTCAATTTCAATTTTCTTGTATCATAGATTAAATAACGCCGGTTATCATATTCATAATTGATAGCAAAGCTATCTTGCACTAATCTATTATCTATTTCAGACTTATTGAGCTGATGTAAATGTTCGAGTTTAAATGCATTTAGAATGAAGTTGGCCAGATGCGACTAAAGAAAAGACCTACATTTACTAATTCATCCTCAACTTCTGCACAAATCGATCGATACTTATTGACTTGTTTGAAAATAAACACTCGACTGGATATATTGAGATAAACGATGCATTTTGAGAAGAACATTTGCCTTGCCTTAATGATACGAAAATGATGTAGAAAGAGTATTGAGAAAAATTGATTTTCATTACCATTTCTTTCAACTATTCGATTTACTGATTGCCGCATACTTCTACTTATTGGTAAATTCAATGAATACTTTTAAATAAAACCTCATTTTGAAACTGTTTCTTCTATGTATACTTCATGGGTGGTTGTGGATGCAGGAGAAGAGAAAACCCCCATCTTCATCCACACCCAAACGCTCAGCATAAAGTTTTGCATGGAAAAAATATCAATTTATAACATTTAAAGAATGGACCAGTTTTGTGGTCGTATACAGTGCCGTCCTTTTTAGTAATGTATAAGAAATCAGAAATTTGAGCACAATTTGTTTCATTTTTAGATATGATTAAATTGAACGAAAGAAACTGCACAAGAAAAAATAATCACTATAAAATACTTAAAACAAAGAACTGTTTGAGGTTCTGTAAGATGTTAAAAGCTCAAAATAAGAAGAAATCAGATACTTGAATTGAGCATATCAGTTTTTAGATAAACAAAAGTAATGACTTAGTGCCATACAGCAGACTTGTAAGAACGTGGTTGGTTTCATCAATATATATGGACTGCAATATTGATTGGCAACACGCAAAAAAGTCGGTAGATAATTGTCCTGATTTTGATGCACAGCGAAAAAACCAATAATTGTACCATTGCAAAAACTTGATCATCAAAGGCATTCGCACTTTAGGATGCTTAGTTGTACCAGAACCGTTGCCTCGTTCATAAGTTTGAATTTTACCATTTTTATCAGTTTTTATCAATTTTAATGTCGGAGTTTTCCAATCATTTGCCGTCGAAATAAGCCAACATTCTTTACTAATTGCTGAAGCACGTTGATTGAAAATATAAGAAAAATCTTCTAGTTTATGGCAATTTTCGTTAAATATTTTACTCAATTCTTTTGCATGTCGTGCTGCATATGTTATACCTTGCCCATATTGAGGATTAAATGCATACACTACATCACCTAATAGAATATAATTTTGAGGCCAGCTTTTACCTAATAATTCGACATATTTGCGGTCATTGATCGCCCGACGATATGGAATTAATGGACTCCATACTTTTGTTAATTTTAATATTGAATTCAGTTCACTATCTAGATGCTCTTTTGTCCATTCTAATAAATTTTCATACGAATCATTTGGTGGATATTCTGAATTGACACAAGTAACTGTAATCGTTGATAATGTTTCTAGGGAATTTTCACCATTTGTTTTTATTGTACGTATTGGAGTTATATAGCATCCTATATTATTGACGGGTATATTACCGTTGGAGCAAATTATAGGCTTCGAATCCAATGACGGATCTCCTGTTTTAAATCTTTCACCTATAAATGTAACATAACCACTACCAAAATGTATTTGCACAGTTGGTATAGTTAAATTGAAGCTTTCTTTCAACCATTTTGTTGATGGTGTATTTCGACCAGTACAATCGACAATAAAATTACCATAGATATCTAATAACGGTGAACCAGTATTTTGTTTCAATCGATATTTTACACCTTGAACAATATTAGCTGATTGATCAACAATTAGTTGAATTACTCTTGCATTACATATTCATTCAATGCAATTTCCATATCGTAAACATAATTCTTTTCTCAAAAATATTTCTAATGTAAAACGACCAATACCGATCCATTCAATATCTTCAGTTAAATTTTGATTTAATAAATTGCCATTAGTAACAAATTCTGCTTCGTTTTTTAATGAATATGAACTAATATTATATTCATTTAATAATTTATCTTTTAAATGAGGAAATAATTCATGTAATATATTAAATCCTTCACCTTCGACTACATGTAAGTGATATATTTGACTAACACCTGAACGTCCTATTGATGTTGGACTTTCAAGACGACAACGATAATCTAATATTTCATTGGGAGTGGATTTGTTGAAAGTATCACTTATTTATCGTACTAAAAAGACGTCCAGAGTAATGGATAAAAATGCGGTAGTAAATGTTTAGATCCATTTACAGATAAGTATTAGATGACTATCTCGAATTCATACAAATCTTAGTAAATTAAATTGTATTGTTTTTTATACTTAACATGTAGTTTAAATTTGTCTAATTAAATCAGTTTTTTTGGAACAATTAGTTGAGTAGACTGATAACATCAATTAAGTTCGTTGGATGATCTTTCCTTTGATCAAATCAAATAGTTTCCCTGATGTTCACATAAGATTAAACTTGCTCTTGTATGAAATCAAGAAAAGTTCAATATCGCAAATTTACCATGGCCCGATAAATTTTGAATTAGACGAAAAAAGTATAGTTAGCGTTCAACGATGCACATGAGTGAACTTACTACTATTTGAACGTAGTTAATGAATATCACCTTAATACATCATCCGACTCTATGATTGTTACTTGTTTGAGATATTTTGATAAATAAGCAGCAGTGATCATTCCTCCAAAACTGCCTCCGATAATTATAGCATGATCGTATTCAGGAATATTTGAAGCAAATTGACATTTCCTTCTATATTTCTTGTGGACAATGTATGAAATTATTATCGAAATAATCGGTATTATGAGATAAAACATGAGGTAGTTGTCCAGTAGTAGATTCGAAATATAACTGCTTATATTCATCATCATAACACGGTTACCAAAAACAACGAAGCATGGTGACGAGTGGTAATATATATAGATCTTGTTTTTTTTCGCGAATTATATTACCTATAGAGAGAAAAAAATAATAATCTGAGCAAAGGTATATTTTATGTTTACGTGCGTGACGATTTTATTCGAGTAGCAGGAAGAAAGACAGTCAAATGTGAGCTAATTACCTTTTGATTAACGATTAAGTATATATACATAAGAAACTATAGCTAAGTCAGTTTCGAGCGCTAATCATAGACGTGCAGCATCTGCCGGTAAAATAAAAAAACTTTCCTGCTATGATATTCAATTACAAATCAAGTTTTCTTGTCTTCAATTTTTACGAAAAAAAAACAACTACCACTATTTAACACAATGTAAATACACATTAGGAAAAAGCTACTATTCAATATCGTTTAGTTCAGGTTTTTTTTGTTACTTGTACTTTTCATAAACGATTTCAACTAACTGAAACAGGAGAAACAAATTTTGGCTTGTCGTGTATTCCTGATTTGGTTGAACTACGATTATTTATATAGAACCAAGCGGCACCCAAATTAATTTTTCAAACGTAAATCCAAACTGACCTGAACTCGAACCAACGAACAATGGTTTTATTCAGTCACTGATTATCATACATTATTCATCCTAGTGGTATTGCACGCATACGCATATACAACAGCAATTGTATGCAACAACAAAGGAAAAAGTATAGAAAGACCAGAGAAAAACTCAAATACTGCATGTTGTTTCATGAATAAGTGCAAAGAGACAGAGTGAAAGAAGTGATCAGATGTATGATGAACGTAAACAAAAGTAGACGATACTGACACTAAGATAAAGGCACGGATGAGCTTTTCAGAAGTTTAATGAAAAGGAAAGAAAAAAGGAAAGTCAAAGGTCTTATCGATATATACAGAGTGAGTCCGAAGTAAGGAAGCAATGTTTTTTTTAAATTTCGTCTCTATATATGAATAATAAAACCTCTTATTTATAGTACATATACTAGATAGTGGTAGTCAGAAGCGTAGCATATCATTCATCTCTGGGCGCAATAGTTTGTTTCGAAAACATGCCGGTTTATCTTGTATACTCCTATGTGACTAGAACAAGAATTATTGCTTTCTTCTAGAATTTGATAATTACTTTTCGTTTGACTGTACCAATTTGCAGACTAAACCATATTTGCATTATTTTTTACATCGTTTTATCTGAAAGAAATTCAAAAAAAAAAGAATGTACTATTCGATTTATTCTTCAAATTGATCCAACCAAACAAAGAAAAACGAAAATAGAATTCGACAAGAAATCATCAAGTTTGATACAGTCACAAAAGAGTATACAAAATACATCGGTACGCTTTTGAAACAAACTATCGAACCCAGAGATTGACAATATGCAACATCTTAAACCGAGATTTGTTTGGAATATTGAAAAATTTTTCCTATGAAAGAAAATATTTGTCAAAAAATGTTTTAAATGCTACTAAATTTTCAAAAACTTCCTTGAATGACCGTTTACGCACGCGGATAGATTCTGCATGTCTGACTAATCATGTTCCTGATACATAAGCGCATGAAGCACCAGTAACGAAGAAACTAAACTTATCTTGTTCATGCATATATATAAGTGTTGTCTAAGATATTTTTTTGTATGGTAGATGGACTTGTAACTTTCTTTCTCATAAGCAAGTTTCTAGTGTTCATAGTTAATTGTATATCTTCCAGAAAGTCCTTAGAATACGTTTGAAAACAACATTAAAGAATGCAAAACTATTGATAATAATTTCAACAGCGTTGGTTTTTACTTATGGAGTTTTACCGTCTCCACGTGACAAAAAACAAAATATGTTTGTCTGTAGACACTGTTCGTTTTCGTGATTTTTCATTGATTTGACATTCGACAAAATTATTTTGAAGTGTACAATGTCAATTTGCTTTTGCAAAGTCTTTATCATTTTAATTCATGAACTTATTAAGAAGTTAATGAGATTTCCAACTCCAATGAATTAGCTGAGCAAGGAAAAGTAAGGCTTTACATTTCACTGAAGAAAACAAAAGAAATCTTGATCTTACTCTTTTTTCTCACAAATTGACAAATTCTCATGCGTCATGACGTTTTTTTTTTACTTTTCTTGTTCACTTTCATGCCTATTTGCCGTAACACTACCTATCAAACTACTTTACAATGGTAGTCAAGATGAAATGATTCCAATAAAAATTACTCTTTCTGATTAATAGAAATGCCAGAAACTTGGATAGCTTTCTCAAACGAATAAAACCAAGCGAATTGACCAATGACATGGAAATATTGCTCATTTCTGTTCTACTAAGATAAAGTCAACTAGTGCAGGTATGATACTTGAGAGTATGAGTGTGGGTATCGGTGTGTGGATTGCTTCTTCTTCCACATTCACATCCCAGTAAGTTTCAGTAAAGACTATCTTGCACAATTCAATATTTTCGTGTTCTCTTCATATCGGATATTTTTTCCAAAACAAAAGTCTAAAGTATCATAGAAAATCATCAATTTTGTGACAAAAAATGCCTATTGAAGTTGATTTTGTTACATTTGTTCATGTAAACAAGCTAGCCGGAGAGCCAAAGTTCTTTAGTAAGAGTAAATTTGTGTTCTTTCGAATAAAACCATCAGAAACGGAGGAAAAACTATGTAGCAAGGTAAAAAACGGAAATTAATGCGCAGTTTTTGAGTCTTTCGTAAAATAATTTATCAAATCGATGCGATAAGAATTTGAACCTCGTTGGAAAACGTTGCGGGAGATAAAATGTATACATCTTGAATTTAATACTCGACTCATTTTATAACTTTGGCAAAACTAGCATTAACACCTCAATCTGACAAAGCATCACAGCTATTTTCGTTGTGAATCAAAATATTCGTTTTTTATCACCAAAAACTATTGTTAATAATCTAACAAAATTCATCAATCCATTCAAAACTTGATACTCATGTCGTTTATTTTCTCTCGTGGTTTTTCAACCAAATTCGAGTTCTCATTGCATCGATTCGATCAATTATTTTTTGAAAAAGCCAAAAATTGCATATTACCTTCCATTTTAACTCCATCGTATAGGGTTGTCTTCATCTCTGATGATTTCATTCATAAAAATAAGAAAAGTGATCTCTACTGACCGAGTTTAGCTCTGTGGATAGCTTAAATTCACTAACAAATGTAGCAAAGTGAATTCCAATAAGCTATTTTTGCCACAGGATAGATGATTTTTCTCTGATATTTTAGGCATTTGCCTAGAAAAAAGTTTCAGGTTCATATAGAACACCAAAAGACAAGGCTGTACCAGACAGTGTTTGTTGAAACGTTGCGCTTTATTTGCTTGCGAAGAGGTCGAAATATGATTTCGAAATCTTAGGCATGCTCCCGCCTGTTGTAACAGGAAGAAAATTTCATGAGTTCAAATTTTGTCTTTTTTTGAATCAACATGCTTTACTCTTTAATCTTAAAGTGACTTCATGTAAGTTTGAAGATAACAAGTTTTCTCATGAAACCTATGGAGAGGGAGAGAGAGGGAGGAGGAGAAGATCTCAGGCACATGAAACTTCAGAGTGGTGTTTCGGGCAATTAGCCGCGTTATTCGTGGGTGTGGATGTGGGTCTTTTCATCAAATACACACTCACTCACATCCACACCCACACACGCCCCACACCCTGATCGATATATAGTAGGTTAGTACTAATGGAATATAGAATAAAAAGTTACATTTAATATTCTATAGTTGATTCTATACAACTGTATTGCTGTCATGATTTAGTGCTTGTTGGTAGTTGCATGATGACCGTCATCTTGAATAGGATATATGAAGAAATGAAATCAACATAGTTTATTATTCTACTACATAGTGCACGACAAAAACGTTTCCTTCGGTTCTCCCTTATTTCGAAGATTTCTTTCTCTTGTGTGTTTCATTTGAGAAAGTACAATCGGAAGGAACGAATTCGAACAAGTACCTCATTTTTTGTAGGCTTCATTAGCGAATCACAATAGCGGACGTCATTCTAAACAAGGATAGTTGATTGACAGTGCGGTGAACCAAAAGCACAGTCATGATGTCACTTTCACTCTCCATATGAGTCATATTTGCCGAACTTGAAAGTGAAATTCAATACTTGAATGTCTGAATATCCGAATTCAGACATTCGGATATTCAATTAAAGGGGTCAGATACTTCAAAGTTAACGAAAATGCACACAAAGACCGTGGATTTGGGTGAGAGTTGTGTTAACGGCAAGAGTCACACAAATATCCATCCAAGCAACACATTCTGATGCACCTTCACACTCACCTCACAACCACACCCTAATTCACGCAATTGCACATTAATGATACTATAACAACTTCTGGGATTGTTTCTAAATATGAATGCTGCGACGAAGACAACCCAGAATATCGAAATCGAGCTTAGTTATAATAGAACATGGTGCAGTTTAGGTTCCAAGACGGCTTTTCAATGTCTGGCTTTGATAAATCTTTAAGCCAAAATCGCTTCAAGTCATCTCGATATGCCGCAGCTTTATTTGGTGCATCAACCAGTAAGTGTGCCAAAGCTCGTGCAACGCTAATGTCGTCACAAGGATGGCTCGAAATGTCACCACGCCGCTGATCGATACCCATCTGCTCTAATAATTTGATACCATCATGGTTGAAGTAGAACATGGTGCAGCTCACATTCGAAGAGGGCTTCTTAATATCTGACTTTGATAAATCTTTGAGCCAAAATCGCTTCAAGTCATCTCGATATGCCGCAGCTTTATTTGGAGAATCAACCAATAAGTGTGCCAAGGCTCGTGCAACGTTAATGTCGTCACAAGGATGACTCGAAATGTTACCATGCAGCTGAT